TTACGAATATTTTCTAAAAAAAGGCCAAGTGAAAGACTTCGAACAGCCACATTCTGTGTTAAAAGAAAAAACTATCATCGACATATACTTATACAACCATACAAATAGTCCAATTAATTCCAGTCTTATACGGTGTTATTCGGTCATTATCAGAACCAAAAACCTCGTTTAAACAATGGCACACACATCGTTACACCTACAAAACTCATTCCTTTGGCATTGGAACCAATTATTATTTTTTATACAGAGAACAATATCTTAAACATTCAGCTCATCTTCCTGTAAAAGTTATTATTGCATAAGTTCCTCCGCATAATGGAGTATGCAAATCGAATTATTAGCACATTGTTTATAGATCGATTCTACCGGTGAATTGGTTTATATCTCTCTACAATAATTATTTTTGACCATTGCTATTTAACGTAGATGATTTGCATTTTATTGCATGATTTACAAATCGAAATTGGCGCTGCGAGAACTGTAACGCAGGAACGATTAAAAAAGAAAATTGCTCGTTATAAGATTGAAAGTTGTTCTGCAGAATGGAACAAGAATTTTATCAAGAGTGGCGAAGGGAAAAAGTTAGGACTTCTAAAAGCACTAACAATAAAACTGATAATTTTAAATGTCATTTGCAGATTCCTAAGAACTAGCGGGTACAATCTGAAAGAAAGTAGGTACATAGCAGCGTTTATGTTGATAAAATGATGTTAAGTTGCTTACATTAGACGTGAAATGGCAGTAGGCACTTCCTATCTACTTAATTACCGATTGTCGTACAGGGTTCGTTGATCAGAAGTTTGTTGCGGAAAATATCAACCTTCAAGACGATTTTGGCTCCTTTCAGCAACAAAATTGTTGAAAAAAATATAAATAAATTGACATTGACTTATGAGTTATGTTAGTGTCATTTGAAAAATTTCTAAGTTAAGGCAATTTTGCAGAAAGGTTTCTTTCACCGTCTTTCCGTCGTGATCAAAATATTTGTACCTAAAGGAAGTCAAAATAATTAGTTTATTCTTTCCTCGAGGCATTTTTTTCTTCCGGATGCAAAACCTCTATAGTTAGTTCTTCCAATCTATGCAATATACAAAAATCAACATAATGTTCGCAATGAAGTCTTACACAAATTACAACACAAGAAGGCAACGAGATTTCTCTGTACCGGTATCTAAACTCAAAGTATCACACCAGTCTCCCAATAGCATTGGCATTAAGCTCTTCAACAACCTCCCCAGCACCATGAAAAATGTAGACTTTCAGAGAATTCAGGTGGAAATTAAAAAAGTTATTAGTACAAAATGCAATCTATAAAATCGATGAATTCATAAACATTTGCAAATAAGTTTATTTACTATTTAATTTAATCTTGTACTCGACTGTGAGCTGTGACTTGTAATTTTGTTTCTTTTACTGTCTAGACGTTAATCCATTGTACAAAGATAGCAATAAAATTGTTTGATTTATTGAGTTATTTATGCACTAATTTTTTTGAGAAAAAGACCAAACTCCATTGCTCGATATTCAAGTGATCCATGTGTACCAATCAAAATATTTTTAACCAAAGGATCTTAAAATTGTTATTTATACACGAATTTGCCCGCAAGACCAAGCTCTATGCTATATGCACAAGAAGAAGAAAATATATACTTTTGGTTAAAGAAAAGTCAAAATAAACGTATCGACTTCAAAGGTAGTCTGTCCGTCTGCCTTTGAATAAGTGTTTGTTTTGGTACCTATTATGTCATCTAATTTTTCTACATCCTCTAGTTGAATAACTGCTGTGAAACGAAATTTCTACACTTTTTAGGGTATTTGATATACTATGTATTAGGCTAATTTAATAATCAATTCGCGAATGGAAAATGTTATTTTTATGACGAGTTCAATTAATGGACGCGACCTTTCCTGTATCCACGATCCACACCTTATTTACGAGCTTTCCACCTTTGTGTGTAAGTACCTTTGTTTTAATTCACAAAGTATACTTATTTACTTGGCCGAATGCGTAAGAAAATGCTTTGGTTAATAAATTCCAACTATTAACTACTAATAAATAAATAAATAAATAAAATAAATAAATCTGCTTTACCATAATGTAGAAAGAGAAAAAACAAATTTATATTGAATAAACATATCACCGGTTACAAATTTCTGAACAAATGTTCTTGAAGAAAATTCTTAATGAGCGAGTGAATTTTCCTTGGGATAAAATCCCCGAGGCTGAAGCGAAATTGCATACAGCGAATCATGCGAAAGGGAATACATATTTAAGGGATCAATTTACCTGGAGGCGAGCTTTCTTGTGAGCAAACTTTATCACAGAAATAGAAGGGAGCTCGAAAACTAACCCTGTTAACTGTCAAACTTGTTACTCAGCAACAGTGCGGCTAAGGTAAATATTCTTTGGAGGTTGCATCCCTCCCGGAGGAGAATTTTACTGAGGTTTACTGGAGGTTAATTTTCTAGGGAAGACTCATTCTTCGAAGCACACTTTGTCACAGAAATAGAAAAGAATTTTAGAATCGAGTGCGTAACGGTTATTGCACGGGCGAGTTTTCTTATGCCGAATCCTTTGGAGCCGAACTCTCCTGGACTGGACCGATTGAAACTTCCTAACTAGCGACACTTTAGTATTCTTGAGAAGAACTTTTCTTTGGGATGCATCTTTCCGGGACAAATATTTCCGGGTGATTTCAGTTGGGGAAAACCTTTCAAATATGAATTTCCTGGGAGTAAATATATTCATCGGAGCTAGTGCTTAATGAGACAAGAAAGTCTTCCTCCGGAGAAAAGTATCCCGGACGCAAATTTAGTTGTTCACTTATAGGGAAATTTGCGGATGCGGATTGTGGCACAGAAACAAAACATAGGTCTAGAAATGACAGCGGTTATTCCAAAGGCGCGTCTTATTATGAGAGGGAGTGGGAGGAGTAGTATTTTTCGGGGCAAGTCAAGGGAGTATTTCAAGAGCGAGCTTACTTTTTTGTGGATTATGGTGTTGCTTCGTTTTATTAAATTCCACTTGCATATTCCTTTTTATATAAAGAATAATTAATGCATACAGAAGCACAACTAGGCTAATATTTTTAGGGTAGGAACCTATCCTCATAAATTTGTAAATTACGCACTAGAAAGTAGTTTTTTTTATTATTTACAAGGCTAGCTCGCATGTTTGCTTCCTTTCGGGATTATTCAGTAGAGCAAAGGGTAAAGCAGTGCTTTGTTTAAATTTAAGATTACAATGTGGCCTGATGATCCAAATTAAACCTAAAACCGCAGTATCGATAACATTGGGTTTAGGAAATGTTGCCCAAATTTGTAGTGTATTGGAAATATTGGTACATGGGCATTATTAAGTTGTAACCTCTGCTTAAAAATTCTCGCACAAAAGGGGCACACATTAATATGTTAAGGTTGTTTCGGTTCTTTGATTTGGAGAAACAACTTAGTGCACATGTTAAAACCACAGCGGTAGTCATATTTAAGGTCACTTAATTTCCCGCATAAACGTTTCCATGACAAAAAGAACTATAAAATATCAAACAGATATTTTGGTACTAAAAATTCGTTCGCATCTACATTAAAATAATTGTACTTTTTAATTAAACAGAACAAATAGATATGGATATTGGTTAGATATAATGGAAAATAAAATACATCCAAAACGTGAGTTTACCGAACCAAAAAAAACCACACAAAAGAAAACTGAGAAAGAAAGATCATTAGGAATTGCAATATCGAAAAATAATAATAATGAAAATGAAAACCGAAGAGAAAACTGCATTAATAATTATATTACAGTAACATTCAAGATAATGAGCTAAATTTGGCATTTCAAATACATTTGTCTAACAAAATACGAAATATAATAACACCAGCCAAAAGAACATATTAATTTAATTATGACACGAAATTACAAAAAATTTGGTATACATTATTTATTGGGTGAATTTTCTATAAATGAGGAAGACGCGATGCTGTTAGAGATAATACATAGGTACAAATTACGTGTCTTAGAAATAAGGAAGAGTAATCCTCGATGTGATGAAATTTGTTTTTATTTTTCGAGCAATTAGTTGAACTACAAAAAAAGTAATTACCGCCAATAACATTTGTTAAAAGATATGTTTTTTGGCTGCGCTATAAGTTGCTAATTTACCATCGTGGGTTTTAAAATGAAAACCATTTAACTTTCTATATTTACCTCATAAATAAATGTAACATTTTTCTTAATACCTACCGTTTGTAAATATTGTTGAGGATATCGCTATTAGACTTTTTAAGCTGATTGCAAATTAAGGAAAGTGGAAAAGTATGGTTAATTTTTTACTTACAAACATTTGCATATTGTATAATTTCGTTTTGGGCCAAAAATTATAGTAAGGAACAGTCCCAAAGCACGAATTGCTTCCTTATTCATTTAAATGCTACAATATTGCATGCGTGGTATGGAATAGTTACGCATATTTAAGTGCAATTATTGTGATGTAACTTACATAAATAATGAATGTTTAAAACTATACAATAAAATAATTATGCCAATTTTTAAGGAATGCACCTTAAAACCAAGTTTCAAATGACTGGTTCAGGAAACGCCTAGAAGACGCGATGTGCTCAGAGGGGAACAGTGAAAGTAAGATTGTACAGATTTGTATATAAACTGGTCTACCCTTGAATTATCATCAGTCGGTTCGCTTTGGATCAAATATCCTAATCACATTTCATACAAACCACGCAAGTGTGCAATGAAGAAATTCGTAAGTTTTGTTTTTTTTAAATTGCCAGTGAGTGCCCGTGAATCCAAGGATTATCATCTATTAATTTTAATTTATATTGAGATACAAATCTGCAGCTGCCAGTGAAACGCTTGGATTTTTTTAAGATTCTCGCATTACATACTTTCACGTCCGTAAAAAGAAGAGCAAATGTTAATTGACCAGATATACATTTACTTTCTATATTTTCGCAGTTGATTATTAATGTGATTATCTTTTCAGGTGTACGTAGCACTTTTCTGCACGATGGCTGTAGTTGACGCCGGATTTGCCAGTAGCTATGGAGGAGATGAACATGGGGCAGTTGGTGGTGGATACGATGGAGGATACGGTGGAGGATACGGAAGTAGCGGATATGGTGGTTACGGCGGAGGTTCAGCACACGCCGAACCGTTATCCCACACCGTCGAAATTGAAAAGCCAGTTCCCATACCTGTCTACAAGCACGTGGGAATACCTATTCCACACTCGATCCCTGTACCAATCCCCAAACCTGTTGCTGTTCCAGTTCCGCAACCATACCCCGTCCACATTCACGTTCCTCAACCCGTCGCTGTTCCAGTCATCAAAACAATCACGATTCCCGTTGAAAAACCAGTACCGTACCCAGTCGAAAAGCCCGTTCCTTACCCTATCGAAAAACCTGTACCAATTCCCGTTGAGAAGCATATACAAATCCCCATTCCAAAGCCAGTGCCAGTTCAAGTTCCCGTCTACAAGGTTGTCTATCACCATAGTAAACACTGAGAAGTTCTAGAAGGCCGTTGTTACGTACCATCTTCATAAGTCATTTGTTAATATCATTTTCATTTTCTTGTTATTATTGCTCTTGTTGATATTTGTTACTTGTTGACTGAATAAAATATGTTATGTCTAATCGATCTTTGCGATTGTAAGAGAAACCTAAAAAAGATATAAAGGTGAACGCATTACTTTCAAAACCGAGAGTAACGCGATAAGCTAAACTTGTTCTGTTGAGATATAATTAGCAAGATCAATGGCAGCCTATAAGCTGTAGTAAGATTTGCTTTCTTCCTTACAGTTTACACCTGGCATATTCAAGATCGTGTTTATAGCAGCAAATCCATCATAGAATGTGATAGTTCGAATTTTGCCACAAGCCAACGGTTTTAAAATTTACCCATCCGTAGACAGCACTTTTGCTTTGTAATAGTAAAAAGAATTAATAATTGGATTTCACATTAGGATGCTGTGTTTACCTTTACTTCAATTATTCTCATGGTTTTAAGCAGGTAGTAATTTTGCATATGAATAAATAAATCTCAAAGAGCTGCTACTATGTTACACAGTAAAATCGTTTCCGAAAGTACTAGTGAACTTTTCGAAACGTCGCACGCGCGTAATATCTATTGTTTGGTAATTATAGGTATAAGCGTGTAAGTGTTGTGCAACTAAAAAAAAATTAAAATGAAAATTATAGACACGTATATACATTCTGATCATCTAATTTACGCTGTTAATGATATTAATAAAACCTCATGTAGCATTTCTCTATTTTGAATACAGTTTCTTGCAGTAAATACCATTACGATGCATTCTTAAGTGCAGTGACAGGAAAACTAATTTAACATTTCATTAGCTAGGTACATTAATTTTTACATGAAGAGTTCCAGCGTACCGCAATTATACTTACAGTGCAACTAATTAGTAATTACATCCTTATTATAACCATATTACCGTTCGTTTAATTCACATTATGCACATTTCTCCGGAGTTCTTATCCTTTTTGGTTGAAATTTAATAAAACTTGCCCCGGAAAATTTGCCACCGGAAGCTTTTCACGCGGACTTCCATTACCATACATGCCATGGCAGCTTCTTATAGGTAAGGACTGATTCACTATAGAATCACTTAATCCCTTAGTCAAAAATTGGGGCAAAAAAAGTCATTTTTATTTCCACATTTTTTAAAATTTCAAAAAATTGTAGCTACCATAGAAACTGTTTGTATTCAAAGCTTCCCGGCATGAAGACAAATCTTATGGGGTGCATTCACCTCGAGTGACTTTTCGGATTATGTAATATTTCAGGGTCGAATTACTGCGGGCGTATTTTCTTGGGGGCGACTTTACCGGAGAATTCTTCCGAGCGAATCTTTCTACAATCGAAAATCTCCATACTGCACATGCGCACAGTTTCGCTAGCTAGCAATTCCGTAATAACATACTTTCAACTTTCGCACTAAAATATAACATAAGATACCACGGCTAATGGTTCTTTCGTATCATTCGATAACACATACTCGTTTCGGCTTTCAAATAAATCCAAATGTGCTCCTAGAGAACCCAGCTTAGGCTGCGTTTTTTCTACATGGGTTCTGTTCTCTTTCCTTATGAAGCGGCATCCTATACGGGCAAATTTGTAAATTCAATTAGAAAAATCTTGAAAATCTAAAGCGACCACCAGTTGCAATCTCAAAACCAAGTGTGAAAAGATATCTACTACCTATGTATAGATGTGACTGCCACAGAATTAGAAATCGTATCCAAAGTTAGTTTAACTTAATTAATTCACGGAGTAACCTTTTTACCGTTCTTTCCTAAATAAAATAAAATTTACTCATTTCAAAGAGGTTTTATTTTTTGAAGTTAGGTTATCGACCAATGGGTGTGATGCCAATTTTTGCAACTTCGAATGGCGTGAGGTAATCTCAGGGTACGTGATAAATCTGCAATTTTCGGACCTTTTTAAAGTATAGGTCAAATTTTCTACAATTTGAGGTCAACTCGAACTTTTTACGGTCACTGAGATATGCCCTTTCAAAGGGTGGAATTTTTGTGCACAAAGTTCAATATGTTTTTCTTACTTTACGGCAAAACATCTCCTTAAATAGTACCTATAGTTGTACTGTGACGGATAGTAGATCAAGTCAAGTTGAAGCGCAAATATCTCAAAACGAAACATGTAATCGTCATAGTTCTCTTGTTACCTTAATATGAATTTACGAGCTATGGAGCTTGTCGACATGCGAAAGCAATGAAAAGGATACATTTTCATTACTACCACCACCGAAAGAAATCTGTTACTTTTTTATTTATCTTGCGGATCACTCTTCCCATGTGTTCCTGAAATTTTTAAGGTGATCACACATCAAAGAGCATAATATAATTGAGTTTTAATTTGGTTCCCTTCAATATGAATATCCATTATTTTCGTGCTAATTTTTTGGGAACTGAAATTATTCGGAGAGGCTAACTTTCCAATGTGCAGAAAGCTATGGTTCAGATTCTTGGTAAAATGTTATTCATTTTCGAAATATAATTTTTAGAAGTTCATGTTGTGGCCATCTAGTGTGTTGACTTTAAAGTCAGCGTTGTCTCAAACAAACTGCACGAAAGCATCTTTTTCAATGAGCTGAACAAGTTCTCCCCGAAGAATGGCTGAAGTTTCTACTCTCAGCCTCCTTATAACTAAATTCCATTGAATAGCAGAGATTGACAAGATGCATTGAGCCGCATTTTCAATACAAATATGCTATAAAGCTGACCTGAACTCATTACAGCAATAGGTGTGGTTGATAGGCTAATATCAATCTGCGGACTTTTTCAATGTTTGCCCATTTTGAGCCTAAAGTGAGCGACCTAAATTAAATAGAGAACAAAAAAGCAGCTGACTGAAACGTCCCTCCAAAACTTTTGATTTTTGATCGTGGCAGTTTGCAAGCGAGTGTAATTGTATTGTTGTAAAGTATCCGGAAAAAGTCTACATTAAATTTTAAGAGTAGGACTAATTCACGTTACGCATCTCAAGATGACTGACTACTTTGGTTATTACGAATTCGGTCGTAATCTTTAGAATGATTTGAATAAAATAACGAAACAAAAGGCACAAAGGTATTATTCAACAGTCACTAAGGAAAAACAATAATACAAGCTATCAATCATCAAATAACAATAAAAATAATACTATGCAAGCAATACTGTTATACCATCAAAGACTATCCTTCTGTTATAGCGTATTAGATAACAACTAACTCCAGTATGCTATAAGAAATTTCACTTTCTTTGTAAATGAATGCCGATCAAAGGCTGCAGTAAATAACTAATAAAGAAAGTTTAAACCGATTTTCGTAATCGGGGCGAATAAATTAGAAGGCTAAATTAATTAGCCTGCTCATGACCGTCGCTATTTTCATTCTGGTACTGCAAAACGTACATCGTAGGTTGATAATGACCTCCAGTGTTCGATGACTGTTGACCTACATCCTCATGGCCATAAGAATGCCCGAATTGTGGACTTTCCTCGGCGGATGCCGCTTCAGACTGTGATTCGTAAGACTGATATTGATGGTCGCCGCCACTAGAAATTCCATTTGCAAGATGGTCGCCTGCGGTGTTCTCTAAGGGGGTGTCGTGATTCTCCGCAATGGCGTAACCATGATCATGTGCTGCACCATGATGCACTTCGACATTAGATGCAGTTTTTCCTACCGATACGGGATGATCCAAAAGATGGATATATTCCTTTTTGATGTAAGTGGGAACGGCATGAAAATGTTCCATGTGAAAGCTTTGGTAAGATGTAGCCTTTGATGAATGTTGGTCATCGGTACTTCCATGATGCGTTATCAACCCCGATTCGCCGATGCAAAATAGACCAGCTAAAATAGTAAGCTACAACAGAAAGAATTAATCATGTATATCAATCGGTGTGATACACTTACCGAACTAATCATTGTAACAGAAGCAAATAGATCGAAACGAAAATAGTCACTACCACATGTGTATTGTATATGGCACGTATTTATACGTCGAGTTCCTCACATTCGATAAATCTCTCCAAGCAAATTTTCCCATTCTTGTGTCGGGTATGGATAAGGTTTATAATTGAAAAATACTTTTACTATACTGCATCTTGCACTGTTTACGGGGGGTTACTAGCTTACTATATGTGGAAGGTTATTAACATTTAAACGATAATCACGTAATCTTGAACTGCTAATTTACATTCAATACGAATTGAGTATGTACGCTTCTTTCATTACAATCCAATATAATTTACAAATTTACCCTCTCATGCCTATGAGACCGTTTGTTTTTACTTATCACATAGGAAACCTATTTCCCAATAGCCGCATATTACCTTGCTATTTGACTTCGTCTCACTTACGTAAATATAATTTAGCCCAGCATCAATTTTTATTTGCGTTTGGGCTCCTGGGGATGATTCTAACGAATATTCATTCGTATCATCATCGCACTTAACCTAGTGATTCAGGGTATTTTATCTATGAACATCGATGATGTCTTTGGGATTTAAATAAAAAATTCATAATATGCGATCTTTGGTTCCCCAAACTGTTACATCAAGAAGTTAGTGAAAAAAATGTAGAACTCATTTTAGGTTTCCCACCCACGGTAAGGAACTAGAAAGCTCCAGAAAGAGTCTAAGAAGCATTTAAAAATCCGGTTTTCGGGATTTTTGCCATTACTAAAGCTATCTAGGTAGTTTTGGAACTTTTTAGGTCCCTTTCCATGCTTTCTAGGCGCGCTTATCTGTATTCGTATCTCAATAGCCTAAGACATTTCTCGAAAACGGTAGATAGTTATCGTTCGAGGATTTTCTTGGGACTAAAATTATGCCGGGCGACCTCCCTTATAGACCCCTATCAAAATGTACCTATTTAGGAATGGTCATGCAATCTTAGACTGAAAGATACTTGAAAGCCTGTTAATAATTAAAATGAAATGTAGATTTTATCGCAAATAAGTAAATTATAAAACGATTTGCATACGACATTTTATTTACCTATTTTCTATTTTTAATTATAAATTGCGCAGAACTTATTTGCCATTTTGTATTTTCTATTTAAAATACATTTTTAAATATACTTTACCAACCTTACTAATTGTAGGATTTGTAGGGTTTAAGTTGCCGTTACCCGACTGAACCCAAGTTAGGAAGCTGAAAGTGTTGAAACTGTTTAAGGCCAGAAAACCTATAATTTTCAGAAACAACAGTAAATTATCTGAGAAGTGTGTAATTGCTAGTAAAATTCCAAAAAATGTCTGGCAACTCTTATTAATCCTTAGATAATGTTTAAAGTTAATCTTGCAAAATAATAAGAACTTATGACTTTTCTAAACGTCCGTAAATTATACGCATTTTTTAAAATTTTCTTTAAAATAATAAACCTTTATTTATCCTGACTAAAGAAATATACCTACTGCCGAGCCAAGTTATTATGTCGCGGGGAGCATTTTTTTAATTCTTTCTATAACAGAGGCGTATTGTCACTAGAACAAATTTCATCCCATATCATTTCGAACTCATACAACGGCTGTCGTTAGGTCACGCAGACAGGTTTGATACGATCTGAAAACGTCTGTATATGCATCCCGGGAGTGCCACCCATATACGATAGTATGGGATATAGATAAGCAAACAAATAAGCAAACTAGAGCACAAAAATGCCCTTCACTATATAAAAAAAACAACGAATAGGGCGTTTAAGTAGGGAAAGATTTAAAACAAGTTAAAAAGTCATTAAGCAATAAAAATAAATGATGAGAGCGTATTTTCCTCCTAATAATATTAATGCTAGGACCTGGAAAAAATACCGGTAGGCACGGGATCCTTACCCCATGCTCTTTCAAATGAGTTGCCTATCGTCGAAGTCTATACAGTACCTATAATGAAAAATAGTGGAGCGTATACAAACATAAAAATTTTGAAATGGACACCTCACTCTCGGACTTTTATTCGAAGTGTCTACATATGAAACTTTTTTAAATGCTTTAGTAAATAGCATTGCGCATTGTCTACATTAAAAATTTCATTGAATATCTTCATAAATAGAACATACAGCATGCGTAAACGGTAATTTTGAGACCGGTATTAGTTTTAGTTTCATTCAACGTACCTACATATGAATAGAAGTCTGATCGAAAAAGTACGAATTGTTTTGGATTCTACGCACCAAAATTAATAAGAAAAAGTGTTTTTCCGAGAAATTTTGGTGCAGTCGTTTTTTGCAAAAAAGGAAGGTAATTTTTTTGAGGCTCGAAAAAAAAATTGTCTCAGATCGACCCGGAAAAAAAATTTTCTTATAGAATGTGGCATGTAGAATCCATAATTTCAAACAGTTCCAAGATTGGGCTACTAGTTCAAAAGTTATAGCCCTTTGAATTTTCTTTCGAAATTGGTTTCTAGTCTATAACTTTTGATTGAGAAGTCGTATCGAAAAAGTACGAATTGTTTTGGATGCTACGCACCAAAATTAATAGGAAAAAGTGTTTTTCCGAGAAATTTTGGTGCAGTCGTTTTTTGCAAAAAAGGAAGGTACGCTGCCTTTTTTTTGCCCGAAAAGAAAATTGTCTCAGATCGTCCCGGAAAAAAATTTTTCTTATAGAACGTAGAAAGTTACAGCCCTTTGAATTTTCTTTCGAACTTGGTTTCTAGTCCATAAGTTTTGATTGAGAAGATATATTTCATTTAACTGCTTTCATAAATATAAGAAAGTTGCCATTGCGCGTGCGCAAAACCAAATTTTAAAACTGGTGTGAGATTTGCTTGTATTCCATTCCCAGCGTATGTATTAAATTTCATTTTTAATGCTTCCATAAATAAGGAAGTTGGCAAAATTTTGAAACGGGTGTTATATTTGTCTTTATTTCATTTACTCCATGTGGCGTCGATTTACCTATTGGTGGCAATGGATATTAATTTGAATATTGTTGCTTTGGCTTCACAGAAAATAAATTTCTTAAGCTGTGGAAATGTCGACTTTTGCTTTAATTGAATACATCGCACACGAACGAAAATTAGAATACGGACGTCAAAGCGAGAATATTCAAAGGCAGATCTTCGTTGTATTTAGTTACTTTGGTTGCATAAAGTTAGGCGCCCTTTAGAACACTTTTTATCATGTAAAAGTAGACATAGGAAATTCCTATATCTACTTCTACATGAATATCACTGTATAATTGTGAATGGAATGACCCAATGTTTGCGTTCAGAACAAAATTTGTTTAAGAAAAAAGTGTTTCACAGCTCTTTCTCTGAAAATTCAACAAACATACAACTGTCATTTTAATTGCGCCTCACGCAAAGAATTTTTTATTGGAAACTTAGGGGAACGTTTTATAGGAAAAATGACATCCCTGTAAAGCTGTTCCCCACAAAATTGCTGATAACAGAAAACGTGATCTAAAAGATACAAATTTCTGATAAAACATTCTTTATTTAGAAATCAGTCTTTTGAATCAGTTTTAGCCATCGCTAGATGGCTGGGTTGTATCACACGAAGACAATCACTTACATTCACATTACAACTCGTCTACAAAGTTTTCCATTCATAGCAACAACGATGTCATAAAACAATAGAAAACTTTGTTCACATTCAAAATTTCATACTTCACAAAATTGCAACTACACGACCACATTTACAGTTTTGTCTATTAAAAAATAGATAGAAAAATAAACATATAATATGAATTAAATGACTGCGCTAAATTCACAAAACTTTTGCATCTGCGTATAACAAAATACAGTCTTAACATTAGGATATAGATATATAAATTCATTAAATACCATACACTATTTTTTGTTTTTGTTAATTTGAACTAGAGTGTATTATGTAAAGCATCAAATGAATTCTATAATACATCAAAAATAAATTTATAAAACAAGATCTAATAATTGTACTAAAATATGAAATCTGCCAGCAGTAAAATAGATAACCTTTCAACATATAAAGCTAAAAATATTAAACTCTATACAACATAAAACAATGAAATAGTCTTACAAACTTATATCAGCACAAAACTACAGTGTGCTTCATCATGGAAATATAACGCTATAAGAACAAATAATAGGCCATTGTCCAAAATCAGTATTCGAAACAAACAGAAAGTTAAGGAAAAAAAATACTAACAAACAAGCCCCAAAAAATTAAGGCCCAAGTGCATGCTCCATCATCTGTAAACATAACGACTCTAAGCTACTCTCAATATCACTACTTTTAATGCCTTGTGTACTATGCATGAAAAGTTTTGTATTATCATTATGTTGCGTACTTTTCGCATACCCAGGCCTGAAACTGTGATCCATTTTTGTACAAGGAACAACGGGTGTGTTACAAAATTGGGTGTTCATATTAAAAAACTGGTTTTGTAAGGTCGTGCTTCCAAGAGAATGCCTATGCGCACCTACAATCGGACTTCCCTGCATATTCGGATACGAGGAACTCTTCTGGGCGTACATTTGAGGGAAACCCGTGTCATTTACGGTTTTATAATGCTGCATTTGTACCGTTTGCTGCCTAAAATTATAAAACAGTAAAAATGTGCAATTAATAATGCGATTGGTAAATACTTCTGAGAATTATTGCTTTGATGTCGATGAGTATAAACAGGAATATGATTGCCTCGTACCATCTGGCCCCGCCATAAACCTAATCGCTTTTTCTGTTCATCTGTAAAGGCGTCCGATGCCTCGGCCCGTTCGCAGAGAGAGGAGAACAGAACCACACAATCATCCGAGGGCTGTCGTAGCATCAGTAATTGTGTGCACACTGTAAGTATGATAACTTTTAACTATTTGCACATGTTCAAATAAAACAAAATATTCATGCCATGTAAACATAAACCCCCATTCATCATTAAACCCCACAAAATTAAATTTATAAAATTTTGCAGTGCACCAAATTATTAGACTAGTGTATGATTAAATTTAATATTATTTTCATTTTTAAAATTTTTAAAACAAAACTTGGCTATGCACTATAGAAGATTTTAAACAAATGTTATAATGTCCGATTTATTTTTGTTTATCTTTATCTTGAACATTGTAGGTATACATAATTATGTTAAATTGTTTTCAATAAATGCATTATGATTATTATTATTATTGTACAGGTTCGCTTAGCACAACCCTTGCTTATGGGCTTGGGATTGAAATTTTAATCAAAGATGCTTTTAGTAAAAGCAAAGGCATTGCGTATTGTAGATATCAGATTAATGTGCGCAAAAATTGCAAATTTTGGAAATTGCTCTCAATGAAACATTTAGGATCGTTAGTTTATTTGGAGATAATCTTCGTTTTGGTTTCCTCCACCGTTCATTTTTGTGGGTATTTATCTATCACGCCCTCTACTGAGTCAGGCAGGAAATCTAGATTTTAGGGTCTGGTGCTATGGACCAGCACCAACACCAAGATCGAAAAAACTCGCAAGAAACTGCAAAAACCCTTCCAAATTGTACATTTGAGCCCATGACTTTAACCTATTGAACTAAAATATTGTATGGGTGGTCTAAATTGGACACTTTCTTATGGAAACGCCGTTTATTTTAAGCGAGAAAAAAATTGACCTAGGTGTATAGAGCTCAATTTTAAAGAGAAAATCACTAGCACAAACAGAGTTCAGCTATTTCTAATCGTTTGGCCGCTAGGGTGCGTTTTTCGAATTTAGCTGAACACCCTATATATTTTCGAGTTTTTAAAAAGATCAATGCCACTTTTTGGACTCTATAAGACATAAGCTTCTTGTTTTTAATAATTTTCAAGATAATGTAGAAACATGTGGCACCTTTATTTTTTGTTATGGACGCCATTTTGAGATTGTGTCATTTTTTCTCTTTGGTTCAGTACCACATTTTTCCTAAAAGTACAATATTTAATTTTTGTGAAGAGTGTTTTGGAAAAACAAAACGTTCTTTTGTTTACAACAAAAGATTGACAGATTGATCCATCAATCTGGTTGCGATGTTGGCATAGAACTAGTTAGTTGAGAAAATTTAATTTTCAACTGAACAGTATATTAAAATTAATTATATCAGATATAGCAATCACCATTCTGATTGTCAATATATGACAGGTATCAAACTTATCATTTTTCTCTCGAGGTGCACATTGTGGTATTTTTTTTTATAAAGAAAATCCTCAAATTTTGTCTGTATCAGTCATTAATAAAATTTTCCTCTGCGAGTTCCATTAAAAAGTGTTTACTATGACCTACTCTGTACATGGCATCATTTCTAAATTTCTTGAACAGGATTTAATCCACCACATAAATACTATAGAACCGTTATAAATTATCTAAATTCTAACGAGATATGTAAATACCTACCCACACAAATATACAACATACCTTTTCCCATTACTTTAATAAATTGTGATGGTAAATTTTCTCCTGCAGTTGTCTGGAGAGGACTCTGTAGTACGCCTTTCAACTTCTTTAAAGCACACGTTAGATCCCCACCATTCATCACTTCAGTTTCCAGTTCATTCAATAATTGACTACGTTCCTTCAGCTTTGCGATACTTAATAATAATTTATGCCTTGCCCCCTTCGTTATACCCATGGATTCGAGATCGACTTCAGTCAAATTCAACATCTGTTCGTAACTTAAATTATTAAACACCCAACTGTATTTGTGCAGTCTTAACGATTTCAGCCAACAAACGATTCCCTTCAACATCATACTTTGAGTTTGCAATTCTTGCAATCGTGTCTCGGAGCTACTTGTTTGAATCGAACTCGATTTTAAAGGTAGTGATTTGTCGTTGGATAAGGAATAACTTCGCGGTTTCAGTATTTGAGGTCCTAGGTTTTCTTGTGATGACCAAGTGGCGTACGTGCCGCCGACTTGGCCAGGTGTCAGGCTATTAGAGCGTCTATTTAAGCGATTGTGTTGCAAACAGCTTGACAAGTAGTTTGCAGGTTCTGGATTGGGGCTGACCGATTCGTCACTTGACTCGCTGACCGACTGGGCAAGGTTTTTTTGTGAGTTGGGTTGCAATACGTGATATAGTAAGTGCCTGAACGATTTCTTGTCTTCTCTGCCAAAAGCGGGGTGTACAAAAACGTAAGATAAAATTTCAACACATTCGTTGTATATTTTGTACGTAGGTGCGATGTAATCTGATAATATTCTTCGAAGTGTACTTGTATACACTTTTAATGCTTCTTTATTGCCAGGACGTAATAAAGGTATGTGAGCTAACATCTTTGATAAAGCTATGTGAGGTGCTTCGGCTAGAAAATTGGAAATGTACGATGGGTCATTGGCATTATGCTCCAACAATTGTGACTCTGGAGTATTAACCTTCGATATAGCTTCCTCTAAAGCACGTTGCAAAAAACGAGCATTAGCAAATGGTAACCCGACCATTAAATAATAGAGAGCAATTGTTCTCTCACAGTTATCTAATTTACAAAAACGACGCTGCATTTCCCCAAGCTGGTCGCAAAATTCCGACAGGTCTCGCATTTGAACTGGGTTTTCCATTTTTCTAAAAAAAAAAAAAAAGTTAAAGGTACCACTATAGTGTAAATAAAAAAGCGGGTTTTTGTTAGCGGTTATGATAAGCAATCGTTGTTAATTTATCTATCAGTTTTAGGAAAAATCACTGGCCTCCAAGTGCATATCGCATACCTCTCTTAAAATATTAACAAAACAATTAATTATTTATTTCATTATTATCTAAAATCACAATTCAACACACAAAAATGTACACGCCCAACAAATCTGATATTAGCTGCAGCGCACGACCTCCACTTTATCAAACGGCCGCATTCAATTTACATAGATAAACGTGATGAAAGTGAATATTTCGGAAAGCCATGTACTTTGTACAGTGCAGAAAATACTCAAAAATTAATTTTATTTAAAACTTGTCTTAATGAAAAATGAATGTTTCTGTAGCTAGCAGAAGTGAACTACTAGAAAATATAGCAAATATTACATGCAAAACGTTTGCACATCAGGATGCATAGAAGACATGTACCAAATTTCATAGAGGTCGACAATATTATCTCTGTTGTTATTAAAAAAATGATTTTTACCACCCTGTATCTTCCAGGGAAGTTTATTTCTTAAAATGGGTCGCAGAATCACCCCCTTAAATATTAGCATGTCTTTACGGGACAAACTGTATAATCAAAAATTGAATAATAATGTGAAATGAAAGAAAAACACCAACACTTCAGAAGCAAATTTTAAAAGCAACATAAAACGCATTTCCCTCCCAACAAACGTGTCTCTACCTACAGAAAGAACCGAAAAATACCGGTTCTTTTTTTACTAATAACGGTACCGGTATAGAGGTTTCGGTTATCATAACTTCTTAAATAACAGATCCGGTTCCAACTAAGGGGCTTATAAATGCAATCGGTTCCGGTACCGGTTCCAATCCCCTGATTTTATAATATACTATTAACGCACCATAAACCTGATGTGCAGGTTATTTAGTTTTTAGCGAATTTGTATGCATAAACTAGTTGTCAGGGAAACTCCGGACTTGACTTTCTGACTGCTCCTAATATAGTCAGTACAATTATCTTTGGTCATAGTATAACAATTAGAAAATGCCCTCTGACGCGTTTGTTTTGAATCCGACGTAAAAAGTGTATGACTTTTTTGTATCAAGACACATCTTTTTTGTAATTAACATTTTTCAAGATATTTAGTTCGTTCTTTTTGCATTCGGTAGCTTCTAACTTTGTCACCCTTAAGTCATTAATATATATGACCTATTTAAGCTGTCATCTCAATCAAGAAAAATCTTGACGATTTATGTACGCATGCGCAATATCAACTTCCTTTTTTATAGATATTTTTTTAAATGTTACCCAGAAATTCTTCTAGTGAATGCAAACGTATCGCATATTTTAAACATCCGGTGTGCGCATGCGCAATGCTAAGTTTCTTATTTAAGAAGATATATTTATGCCTTAACATATTTTCCTTTGTATACATAAATAGAGCGTTGACTTTTTGAGAAGTACTGATCAAGTCATGGAAAATCGCGAAAACCTTTTTTTCATTTTTTTAAATTATGAGAATGAAAATAGAAACCTTTGATTATATTTTAAACAATTTGGAGATAAACAAGATGAACAAAAACTACCAGGACTTCTTCCTCAACCAATTGAATCTGAAGGATTAATTTTTCTTTATCCATCAGCAATTTAAAACAGCAAGTGCATTGGGCAAGAGTTAAAAATACTAAGCTCAATTTTATGCGCGAAACGTCGGTTCTCACCTATGCGCGGAATCACGGTCGACGATCCTACATATATGACCACAGTAATGTAATATTGCACTTTTTTTTGAGCGGGACTACAATTCAATGTTAGGGTCGGCGATTCGTTGTGTCCGCATACTTGGGGAGGGGCATTAATTATTCCCAAAGATACTGTTTTTGAAAGTAAAATGTGCATAACTTCTACATGCAACGATTTTGCATACACATGCCTTTAGTGGTGCTAAGTAAAAGTTTTAAAGATGGGGGGACACGAAGAAGTGTTCTACCCTTCATAGTATTCTGAGTTTTCAACAAAACAAATTGTGTTCTACCAATTGCAGCCCTTCTTTCTAACCCTTATTAAAAGGAGGCAGCGGGAGAAGGCAACGTTTATATTTATTTATTGGTGGAAAATCCATGTACCTTTAAATGCAGTTTGTAAACACAGAAATTGTTTAAGAGAAGCCCTTTTACTACTGAATTCTATACTATAAAGGAACGGAATTTTATATTAAAGAATATCTTCTATAAAACCCACATTAAATCCCAATTTTTTTAGTTTGTGGCAACGATGTAATAAAGTAACTCTGCAGTGAGTTATTACAATTAAACTAAACAAGTGAAATTAAGACTTGCTTTATTTACTTAAAAGCCACAACTGAAATACTAAACATACTACTAACAAGTGCACCTTGACATAATAGTTCATAGTAAAATAAATGTGAAATTAATACTAACACTTAAAACTCTGAGCGGCCATATCATCGGCACTCATTCCCAACATGGCCAGATCTTCGTTGGGGTCATCAGGTGGCAAAGGCGGTGGAGGTAACGGTAAAGTATGCTCTAAAGGTATGTCGTCCGCGGGCGGAGCAGGAGGAGCTTCTACAGCGACATCTTGCGAATAATCGTACATTTGCGAATACATCATGGCATTGTATTCCATGTTTGCATATTGATATTGCTGCATCATAGCAGCTGCTTCCGGATACAGTTGACTAATGGGATCTTCGTAATCGGATGGCGATAAAGCTTTTCCCTTCGTATAATCGCCATCACTATCGTAATCAGGTATACAAACGGTCGGAGGCGGCGGCGGGGCAGGCAAAATGCCACCTTCAGGCAAGCTATTCTGATCTTTTTCATTGCCTAGCGAATTATTTATGATGGGTGGTGGTGGAGGGTGCATAACCTCCTCCGATATCTTTGGCGCGTCTGGTACCAAGCTTGGAGGGGGTGGAATCGCTAGAGGAGGAATCGAAGATAACCTCGGGAAGCACACCACTTCTGGCTCGGGAATGAACGCTCTCGCCAAATTACCAGGCTGAAACCTGCTACGTCTTGGAATGTCATACTCTTCTTTTTTAATTTCTTTTTCGTTATGTTTCTCTTCGACTTTTTTATTTTTAAATAGCGGCATACGGCCAATAAAGTGTGGCTTTTTATTTGAAGATGTTGACGTTCGTTTGTCTCGATGCGATCTCTCCCTATCTCGTGCTTTATCGTAACTAGGACTTTTGCGCCGCCCATCGGAAGAATGCCGCCCATTTTCATTGTGGTGATTATCATGTCGACGTCTTTCAGCACTACGCTCTCGTTTATGACGCTCGGAACTTGGACTCCTGGAGTATTTAGCGGGTTTCTCTGGACTTTTAGAGGCGCTCCGTTTCTTAGGTTTCTCTTTAGTTTTAAACCTAATTTGTTCCCGTTCCCTTTCTCTTTGTTTCTCTAACTCTTCCTGTTGCCTTCTCTTTTCTTCCTCCTTTTCCCTAAGTGCTCTCTCTTCCTGTTCTTTCTTCTCTTGTAGTTCCCGTTCTTGTTTTTCTTTTTCTAGTCGTTGCTGTTCCAATTCGGCCAACCTAGCCTTTTCGGCTTCTTGTTTCTGCTTCATTCTATCCTTGAGATTATTAAATAACCTCTTATCTTTCTCTTGAGGCTCATTGATGGTCATCCACTGACTAATTAAGCTGTCTTCCGGTTCCACGACCTTGGGCACGACCTCTACTGGTTCCTTGCGTTTACTTTCTTCAACTAAACGACCTAAAGCTTCCCACTTATCTCCCACGTCTTCGCTCATAATCATTTGCGCTTGTAATTTCATTTTGTTTCTCATTGCAACTCGGATACTCTTAGATTTATCATTGCTCTCATTTTCTGAACTCGAGTCTGAAGAGCTGGAAGTTGAACTAGAATCACTTGAGTGTTTCTTACGTTTTTTTAGTTTTTTCTTTTTCTTATCTTTTTTACTTTCTGTAGACGTAAAGCTCTCTTTCTTCGTTTTTTTCCATTCTTCGTGATTATCAGAGTCATCACTATCGGACCTTCGATCCTTGGAAATTCTTACTAAAGCCTTGTCCCTGTCTCTTAGCCATTCGATTTCCCAATGCGGATTTTGCTCGACGAAGTTCTGTTATAAGAGAAATTAGAATTTAAACGTGTGCTAGTGCACAGGATGCTCACCATTAACTATGGCATTAAGCGTGATCAAAATAATGGCATAGAATAGGTGAACATCCTGTACTGCTTGAACTTACTGCAAAATTTTGGTTGTGGTTCTGGGATTTCAGATGTTGTGAAGCACAATGTAAATCTCCAACCCAAGTGTCACACAGCTTGCAGTACCATGAGGTTGCGGATATCAAGAACTGCAAACCTACACAAGCACGATTAATGTAAAAATTAGAAATTGCCAAATACATGTACATACATAAAATTATAACCTTCCCATGCCTGATAAAGGATTTTTCTCTTGTTATTTACGCCAACAGCAGGCATTTTTTACAAAAGTTATACAATTACAGTAGTTTACATTTTTTTAGTATTTGAAAATACTAAACGTTTTGCTTTAAGCAACTTGGCTGCTTAAAGCAAACCTCACAAAAATCTTACAAACGAAAATAAATTCACTAACACTAAATCAATCGATGTGCAACTGGCCTCGAACCTGCAAAATGAAATTATACCGTTATTACCTTTAATTGGCATCCTTTTCTTAGTAGCCCCTTCAAATGAAGGTAATTCTGGTTCGGCAGGAAGCCTATGCCAAGGTGTATCGACCATATCACGTTCCTGTGTAATTTGACGATGCTCTTTACTATGCAAATGCAATAAATAATCTTTGGCCGACTTGGGAAATACATCACAAACACGGCACCAATGCAATTCTGGATCGTAATACACATAACAGTAACGTGGCGGTTCAATTTCCACCTTCTCAGCAGGAGCAGATCTCCTGCTTTTCTCTCTACGATGTTTTGGAGAGTCCTCTTTGCATTGCTCTTCCAACTCTGAAATTGTAAGCCGGTCACCAATAATATTAGTCAACATTTCAATCACGTTGTTAATGGCCTTCATCTTGTTCTGGATTTCGATCTGAAAAAGATTAATATTAATAGTAAATGTCGCTTGGCAGGAAAACTAGTAAACACAATACATACTGAACCCCGTGCTCTTCTGGTGGTATAAATTTTATGTTATAATGGAGTTTAAAATGTAAAATGTCTCAGTAGACTAATAGCCATAGAATTCCGGATCTCCGTGGCAGCACTACGAAATAAAAGATGGCTACCAAAATTCTAACTAAAGTGCTGATTCTGTACGAAAATTACATTAGATCAATATAATCGCAGTCGCAAGAATTACATTCATCTAATGCCTGGAATGTAATTTTCAATTATCATCGAGAATTACTTCAGCTTTAACAAATATTATGGATATAAGAGCTATGTGCAAAAAACACAAAGCCGTGTTTCATATTCAATCCTATAACTTACCTGCAACTTATTATTTTCTCGTAAAATATGTTTATTGTCATGCTCGGACGAATGCTCCTCTAACAGTTCTTGCTTCTGATTACGCAACAAATCAAGTTCGCGACGTAACACTGAAACTTTCCTGACATACTCTTCTCGCTGCTTTGACATCTGAACTTTTTGTTGCTTCAACTCTTGCGCTACAGCTAATAAAAAAGTTAACCAAATTCAAATTGCCACCGACCGTGTTACCTTCTTTCTTAGAATCTCCAGCTGGTGGAACCTGCTGCGCGACAGGCATGTCATGACTAGGTGCTTGAGCCATGTTAGAATAGGCAGAGACGGGTGCCCACTCATTTTGCGGGTATTCTTCTCCTGGAGGTCCGGGTTCGGGCCCCTTAAAAATAAAAAAAAATTACTCTAATTCTTAAATAATTAAAATTTTTGAAATTTTTAATGCCCTAATTGTCATTGAAAGTCCTGTGGTCTCTATTTAAGTCAAAGATCTTGCTAGTAAACGACTCAAATTTGTAGCTCTGGACCTTAAGTCTTTTGTCTGCCTGAGTGTGATATGGTCGGACGGGATCTATTGATAGGGTTAGAATATTCTTGAAAGCAAGCTCTGGGAAGAGGGTACTGAAGAGCCCCTAAAATAACTTCTTAAAGCAAATAAAGATGCTGTCATATTAATTCTTCTTCCCTTCTTTCCCGTAGGTAGGAATATATTGTAAGTTATTGTTATATAAATTACTTACTCCAGCCCTAGTTCCAGTTATTGTTTTAAATACTATTATGTATTTTCATGAATAGCTAGATCGAAATGAAAATAATTGAAAGATCTTGGTTGTTTGAAGTATTTTGAGTGCATTAAGAACTTTTGTTGAGAATTTAATAAGCTGTCATATAATGTAATAATATACAGAGTGTTCCATGTTTGTTACTATTTGAAAAATGCGATGTTGTTTAGTTTTTTTAACCGTCTTACTAACTTGACAACTAAGAAAGGTAGCAATAATGCCGATTTAATTTGAAACAGACTATATTATTTTTTAATAAAAAAATTGTGTGCGATTCGTTTTTAAATTTGACTGTTCAATGTTTTGCAAATGAAACAGTTACTACAATCCATAAGCAGAAACCCAAAATGACAGAAGAATGGCAAAGATCGTATGTTGTTGAGCTAAGTATATAGTGTAACAATTAAATATATAAAAAAATTAAGTAGGGAACCAAACATGTTAGACACTCCGTATCCCTTTACCAGCAAATTCTTACACCTTACACCTACACAGTGTCCCACAACAAATGCTGGTTATCCAGAGCATATTTTAAGGGATTTCCACTGGGCGACAAGGACCTGTACTGAGTGTACTCACCGGGGGGTCTGTGATACCCCCCAGGAGAGAGGGGGGTCCGGGGGCCCCCCGGAAAATGTTTGCACAAATTAAAGGGAAAATCACAGATTTTTACGTGTCTTAATGGATTTGTCGATCGCATTTGCTCGTAAATAGTCCATGTCATCTCACTTCATTTAATTACCTACGTATTCCAGAACATTGTAACAGACCGACAACATTCCCCCAACACAGTGCACTCTCGACTGGCGGCATTCGGCAAGCCGGCAAATCGGAGCGCTAGCGTCGACTTAGCTGCGCATGCGCTACTGACATACTTTCAAACTGCGCGCCTTTTCTCATGTGTTCTACACTTGTACCGTGTACGGTTGGGATTTTTGGCCCAAAAGAAGTATATGAATAATGACTCTCGACTCTCCCCGACTCATTTTAAGTCAGAAATCGCAGTTCCATTGTTACTCGCTTGTTTACTAAACGGAAACTGAGAATATTCTAAAATATTTACTCAATGTCTGTCATTTTTTAAATACTTTTAAAATTCCGATAAATGTAAAATGTGAATTATTAAATTATTAAAAAATATAAATTTGCCGTTATGTTATTTTATGCCCTGTGGTTATCTATCTCAGAAAAGGAAACCTCGGAATATTTTGAAAATTTGCCAATTGGTCTTAATTGAACTACTGAATTTCATAATTTCACTCTGGACAGTAGCTAATTACATTAGTGTGTTGCAGGAAACCTGGTATGATTAAATTGTGTCTAGTGTCAAATGAAGCGCACTTAATTGGCATGAATGTTGAGGCTGGTTCCAGGGGATCGAGTAATTAATTAAAGAAGTTTTAAATTTTGGTAGTTTCCCGCGAGTACGCCGAGCGGCTCGTAATTCCGATGTTCCCTTTCCGTTTTGGCTTTGTGTCAAAGTATTCTATTTTGCATATTACTGTATTGTTTAAGGTAAGCTCTAGATATTTTAATGCTGTTAATTATAAAGGGAGTTTGCTTTCCTATATTTTTTTCATATTCATTTACTCGTTGTTGCTTTACAGACCTTATAGATAGTAGGCAACACCATATTCTTAATACATACAAACAAACATACCAAAAACAATATATCACAAATACTAAAATTAAAAAATGTATAACATGTTAAAACAACACCATAAAAATAATTTTTGTCACTGTAAAAAACACACCAGTTCCCTGGAATCGCTGTGTCCTCCGTATGATTACCTGAGGCTTTCGAAACCATTCCGAAAGCGAACCGTCCCCCTAACGTGCCAACCTTTTATTTTGTAAATTCAAATTTACATATAATTCTCTTTTCTTGTGTCTCAATTACATTTTTTTTTAAATTATACAATTTAATTTCAAGCAGGCGTTTGGCCCACAAATGTGTACAGTACAGTTGCAGTAATTTGAGCTTCCAAAAGAAAAAACTTGAAAACTCAAAAATTCAAAATTTTATTTTCATGTAGTCGCCGTCCGTCTGCAATATTCTGCACTTCTCACCCCATATGAAAGCGCTATTGTCACATACTGTGTATGAATTGCACTGTTTCCATGTAATCTTATACAAGGTGTTTTTTGGGAGCTTTAGTTAAAAGTTTCTGGGAAAGTAAAATAGGTAGGTTTTTGAAAATTTGTACTTAGGAGGCCGAATCGATCTAAAATATTTTCAAAATGGCCGCACTTCCGGGAACACCGGAAGTAGATAGTAACTTCGTTATTTTAAATGGCAACCCCTATTTTTTATTGCATTTTTGCATTCTACGTGAAATTTCACTTCTTTTGATACCCAGATGTTGATATCTACCATTTATGGTTTTTAAGTTATTTCGACTTTAAGAAAAAAAATGGCGGATGCAGATGGTACCTTGATAATTGATTACTTGAAAACGGTTGTAGTCATGGCAACCTATTTTTATCAGTGCATAGAGAATGAATAGGGCTTTCTTTTAGTGCACTTAAAAAAAGTTAAGTTGCGTACGACCGCCCCTATGGATATCCAAATTTATGAAACTTCAGACTAAAAACTCCGTTTTTTTAAATGGAATGACCATGTTCTTACTATTCCATGAGATAGAGAATCGAAATGGGCATATTTTGACAATACATGTTCCTATAGTATTTTGATTTATGACTTTATTTTGTTTATTGTATAACTCTGTTAACAATTTCTTTTGATTTAGTTATAAATCTATCATTATTATTTTTGTTACATTTTTGTTAATTTTTCTATATTTCTGTGCGGCTTTTATTGAACAATATTTAAGTTTGTCCTGTATTTAGACTAGATAGTCTGTTTGGACAATAAATTAATATTATTATTATTTAACAGTTTCTGACTTATTCCCATTTTATTGAATTGACACTATTTTTTTCGGATTTTCTTAGTAGTCGGCCATGATTCTATAACAATTGAACTTTAAACAAATCTAGTGATACTAATCCGTCACCTACTGTTATAGGTTAACATAGTTTTTCAAAAATCGAAAAATGACTCGCAGTGGTTTCACCTTTTTTGGAATTTAATTGTTATTTATGGTGAAATGGGCAGAATCGTGGCGCGTGCTTTCCGTACATTCATTTGAAAACTGGAACGAAATTGTATGAATTTTGGAAATTTTGTACCCCTAATGTACTACAAACCGTTGAAGCACAAGTGATACAAAGCTCTACAAGAGAATATTTAAGAAAATGAATTGAATTGCAAATGCAAGATTAACAAAATAAATTCAATGGAAAATATAAAAAACTTCCTTGAAACATTTTTGGTATGGGATTGTTACTAGAACAGAAATCGCATTACCTCTCTTAATTTCCAGACTAATATGTTGTTTAAGAAATTCAGTTGAACGACTCTGTTTAGATTTTTCAAAAATTTTCCGTCCTATATCCTTAATAAATGAGTTATTTATTAATGAATTATTTAGACTAGAACTAGAATCAATGGTATTAAAGAATCCATTCCTTGATTTGTTTAAAATTCGATTGTTATAAAACCATGGCCAACTACTAAAAAGAAAATGCGAAAAAAATGGCATCAATTCCGAGATCAATTCAATGAAATGGGAATACATCAGAAACTGTTAAAGATAGCTACAGGAACATGTAATATCAAAATATGCCAATTTCGATTCTCCATCTCATGCAATATTAAGAACATGGTCATTCCATTTAAAAAAACTGAGTTCCTAGACTCTGAAGTTTCTTGAATTTGGATCTCCATAGGTGCGGTTGTATGCAACTTAACTTTTTTTAAGTACACTAAAAGAAAGCCCTATTCATTCTCTATGCACTGATAAAAATAGGTTGCCACGACTATAACCTTTTTCAAGTAATCAATTATCAAGGTACCATCTGCATCCGCCATTTTTTTTCTTAAAGTCAAGATAACTTCAAAACCATAAATGGCAGATATCGACATATGGGTATCAAAAGAACTGAAATTTCACGTAGAATCCAAAAATGCAATAAAAAATAGTGGTTGCCATTTAAAATAACGAAGTTACTATCTACTTCCGGTGTTTCCGGAAGTGCGGACATTTTGAAAATATTTTACATAGATTTGGCCTTCAGAGTAACTCCTAAGTACAAATTTTCAAAAACCTACGATTTTATTTTCCCAGAAACGTTTAACTAAAGCTCCCAAAAAAACACCCTGTATAGTATTTCAAAATCCAAGGTACCACCAGTCAAATTACCTCGGATTATCAAGACTTTAGTGTAATAGCATTCTAAACTCATTCAAGACAGCTACAATCGATTAATTTACAATTAAAATAAATACTGAAACAATTTTTTATTCGATTTATAAATTCATTTTGCACAATATTGAAAAATGAAGTAATACATAAATTTCCAAAATAATATATTCTTATTATTATTGAAATGAAATTTAATCTTCGTAAATAAGCAACACCGGAATATTGACTAAGTCACAGATAAGATTATGTTATGTGTTGTGTGGCAAAACCCCTCTATAGCATCTTTACAGAACTAAATAAACCAATAAGTTTTTAAGGGGACAGAAAAGTTATCTTAGGACAATGTCTAAATCTACCAAGGAGTTTAATCACACCAACACCACTGTCACTTCACAGAAATCATGGTTAATGAGAGACAATCATGAATTGTAAAATTAACCCACAGTGAAAAAAGGACATTCTCCTTTGTCCGTATTTACATAGCATGCTGCAATATACCTATACTTACACTGGGTATAAATGCCTTGACAAAGAAACTTACCACGGTACCGTACGCAGCTTGCTGTCCATATGCTTGATAGGGATCATAAGTGGCAGCCTGAGTTGCATAACCCTGCTGCTGATATGTGGGATACGCTGTGGAGTAACCGTGTGTAGAATACTGGCCATGCTGCACATAAAAAACAATTGCAAGTTTGCGTTAAATTAGACTCGTTTCAACTTACATCAGTATACAGTGCCGATGGCAAGTGTTGATAAGTTGTTTGAAGACTAGAATTATACTGATTAGTTTGATTATGAGCTTGATGCAAGGACCAATTGTGTGCATCCTTCGAAGGGCTAGTCTGCTTCTCTTTCGGAGAAATGGGAATTCCTAACTTGTCATATTGCTGTTTCGGTCGATCGCTACTACTCGAACCTTTACTATCTCGTCTAGCTAATCTAGGATCTTCGCGACCACTTTTTCGTCTATAATCACTATATAAATCCGTCATCTCGAATTTTTTACACCACTCACCTACAAAATTTCGAAATCGAATTAACAAACTGCTGATATGCATACAATAGGAGGCCGCCATGACGGAAAACCAAAACAATTACAAGGAATTGCAGGAAGTGCTATTAATTATAAGCAGATTTCTAAATTTCTCGGTAAATTAAATAATTGTTGCTTACCTAAAGACGCATGGCGTTCTAATTACACGGTTTTTTACAATAAATTATTTAACACCCGCACGCCTCTTACCAATAATCTGACAAGATAATCAATGACCGACACTATTCTAGTGGAAACCAAACTCCCTGAGGGGTAGCAGCTTTTTGTTCACACAACGATCCGGCGATTAATCACTGGCACACAAATCAATATCAATATAACAATTTATACGAACACAACGACACTGGCCCACAAAGTTTTTGGAAAATATTTGTGTGGATAAATGACGTAATCACGCTACACATAAAAAATTAATCAGTAGTACCACTACCGGAAAGCGGAAATGGCGTCCCGATTCAAACCGAAAATAAAAATGTGGAATTCAAACAAGAAAAATTGTTCACAATGTTTGCTCGTTTTTAGAAAATAGACCGCAATATTTCAAAATACACACAGATTGCACATAATAAAGTTTTAAAAAGAAGCGGAACAACAAAGCAAATTGGGGGGACGGTGAATTGCCTGTACAGGATGTCCCATTAGTGCTAAGCGAAATTCACACTGTTGTTGAGACTAATTTGGATGTATAATAAGTTGCAAGTTTTAGAATATAAATTTCATTCCTATGCAATTTTTGCGCGCAATCGTCCTGTTGCAGTTTAGATTTTATACTCTATAAAAATTGCTAGACATTTATTTTCTTCAGAAGGGGAACTCCGGAAGCGTTAGTTACTATATCCTTTTGCCTTATGTACCTACACATTATATACAGATGCAGTTAAATAGTAATTTAGATTTTAGATAGTGAACCGTAGTCCTTAGATAATTTATGGTGTTCGTACATTGATCTTCACTTGTCAAGATTCTTATATTATTCAAACAGTCCTTCTGCGACAGATTTTGGACAGACGCAGTAAGTGGCCAACCGATAAGCTGACCCAGGCACCCAGGCATTAGGGTGAAGACGATACTATAACGGAGTAATTTTCCAGGAGCATGGGTGCGTTTCACCGTTTATGATCAAATTGTTCCGGAAAACTCGCCGAAAGACTTCCCCCCAACATATTAGCTACCCACTAAATTCGCTTCAGGAATAATTGCCACTTGAAAATTCCCCTCAGAATATTCATCTCACAACGCCCTTCAAGAAATTCAATGTAAATTAAAATCCGCCCGCGAGAAATATTCCACTCTCAAAAGCTCTAAAGGAAACAGTAAACAGTACGTAGCATATAGAATAGTGAATTCCTTTAAGGACAAAAATATGATTCTCCTGAACGTGCAATTCCCTTGGGACAAGTTTCTGAGGTTGAGGGTACAACGGAATGATTTACGAAAGCGAATGTTCCGGAGTTTTCGCTTTTTGGAGTAATGCAATGTAATGTGCACCGTGAGATAATTTTCTGAATTGCGAATGTTTCCAGAGTGAAAATTCCGAATCGTATTCTTATTAGCGCATTTTTGCAAATTTATTTGTAAAAAGTAGCTTTTAATCTCACTTTGGCTGGCTGGCTGGCCGGCTGGTCGGCTGGCTGGCAGCAAATGTGGGCGCGTAGAAGAACTCTTGTAGAAAGGCAACGGGTGTACGTGTATCTACAAGGCCGTGTAATTTGTAAACCTTGGGGACAGGGCTACATGATGTGGGGTTGGCGACATCTGGGCGTCGTCCTCGAGCGTAGTATACTAACGTGAAGGTTTTTCAGTTTTTTCCTATCTTCTACTACAGTTTTGGTCCGATTCTTTTCAAATTGGTGTCGTCGGAAAGATGTTGTAAACGCGCACAACTCCTGCGTGGCGGAATTTTGTTTTTTGGCCTAGGGGCGAAATTAACGACCTTTTGCAAGGCGCGCGCGCGCGTCTTCGAGAGGTAGTCAACTTCGGGCACCTTTTACCTTCCGTTGCGAATTCGTGCGTTTTAACGTTTCGTAAATCTCGAATGGCTCTCTCTTCTCGTGTCGCCAATAGAAGCTCGAGCAATGAGAAGTGCCCCCCAAAAATTAAGTACTATCTTGTGGAAGGTTTTTAGCGAGATCCACCAAAATGTGGGTGTAATATAAGTATGCACCGAAAAAGGAAATGTGGTAGCCTCCGACAAGATCTAACTGATGGCGGAGGAGTCAAATCTTCAAACGCGAATTGCGGGTGAACGGGACATCGGAAGTGGGTACCGTCAAAGGGAATGTGGTATCCTTCGACAAGATCTTTTATTCATGGTTGAGTCAACAGTGGCTAATAGAATACTGATCTGCCACACAAAAATGCGCTGAAGTCCCTTCGATCTCACACGAGGACTTTGATAATTTTTTTTATTTATTTGTCCCTCTTGTTCTAGGCCATTACAGAGTGACCCGCATAAGCTTTTTAGAGGTGCCCATATACACTATGACGATGAGATTTACTGGTAAAATGTTCTAAATTCCAGGTGCGAAATTCCCTTATAATTCTACTTGGACATAGATACACTAGTCGCGTTTTTCCCGAACCAAATATTTTTAGGAGATAAGGAGATCACATTCCTTTGAGTATGCAAAGCGCCAGCCCAAAATAAGAATACGGTTCACTGCAGAAGAGGAAAAAATAGGAAAATATAATGAAGACAATCTACTGATGACGTTTCGAAGTATTTGGACAGCGTGCTCGGAAAATTCAGAAAATATTTGTTATCCAATCCTGCCATCCGATTTCCCAACCGGCACTCAGACACGAATTGTCAGCTGCGCGCACAATCAATACTTCGTATTACCCAAATTTTCGTTTTCGCATCATTTCCTTTTAGAATCGTCTTAACTCTTAAAATTGAAAGGTTTTCCAGTTGAGTGTAATAATGTCGCAATAAAGTGGAATAATAAAATGTGCTACTGGATGTAGACATAAAGTAAGTGTATTTATGTGCATCAATAAATTTTTCAAAATATACGTAAGTGGTGTGCTTTTTTACGGTAAATGCGAAATGAATTATTATAGGCACTCCACTACAAATGTTTATAATTTTTTCTGCCCTTAAAATCATATACATATAATCAGCGCGGGTTGTGCTCCCCTGTAAAAACACAATCCTGCATAAAATGCATAGGATTTGATTCAAGTCCGCGTTATTGTCCGGATTGGATGCGTTTCGTATTAGAGTATTTGAGTTATCGGGAACATGACGTACAGGCGCCTGCCGGATCAATACGATGACGGCGCTAATCGTCGCGACGCCATACATATTTCCGTCGGTTCTTTTGCTGAATAATAAAAGTGTTTAGATTTGTTAGAAATAGACCAGTAGTTCACGTGTTCTTTTCCAAAGAAAGCACTAAACACTTTGAAAAGTTCAATATATTGAAAATTGATATTGAATAGAAGCGTTACATAAGGTTCGTATTGCACCTTGTTGTTCCCATTAAGCTTTGCCAAATTATCCTAGTTATGCGTGCAGTTTGATTTACCTTTGTAGATTACACTAAAGTCAACAAAAATGAACACATTACTTCCACGTCCACTTCGAGTTAATTAATAGTGATAAGGTTCCCCGCAACTTTATCAGTTGTCAAACTCCTTATCTAACACTAACCATTTATTAAATCAAATCGATAGAAAATAATGTAGTAAACACCAGTGACTGTACGTACCTAAAATTAACATGAACATTGCAGAAGCATCAATGCCTCAACTTAGAGTAGATAATGCACAAAATAACAAAAGGCCTCAAAAAGAAAAAGAAAGGGAAAAAATCTAAGCATAAAGACGAGGAACTATTTAAACCAGAAGAATTAGAGGCATACCGTAGAGAACATCAAGTTGAACAGGGAGAACCGGCAACAGCAAATGACGAATGGAAAAAGTTTAACGCAATCACCGCTGGTATCGATAACTTCTTAAAAAAAACTCAAGGTATGCGCCGGTGCCTTATTGCACATACTCCATTTGTAATGAAATTTAATTTTAGACGACTTAGATCGTATTAAAAGCACATCGTTCTTTCAACGCGTTCCTCCTCCAAGTGAGCAAAAGAAGAAACGAGAAGAAGCCTGCCAAAACACCGAGGAAATCAAACAAGAAGAGGCGGCGAAGGTCGAGGAACCGGGAATTGTTCAAGTTTCTGAAACTGAGAGCGAAGAAGAAGATGAAGAGGATATTTTTGATACAACTTACATCGATGCTATTGCAGCTGGAGAAGTAAAATTAGCGTATATTCCTGGTAAGCATTACAAACAGCAATTGTTCAATTGACTATAGTGCAATTTTAGAATCACCAACAAATGAACTTGAAGGGGATGATCCATTTGATACTAGCATTGCGGAGAGAGCAATATTAGGACCAGCATCAGTTAATAAAAAAGGGAAAAAGCTAGTTCCACTTGGTGCAGCTGTAGAAGTGTTAACTGGACGTGTACAAGCCCCGACTTGTGTACCTATTAAAAGGCCTTCGACTAGGAGAACTATCCTTAAAGAGAAAGATCTGCTCCTTGGTAGCTTCGATGATAATGCAAACTCTTTAGGAGATATTACATGTAAGAAGGTTTGCGTTATTAACGATATCCTTTCTCCTATTAAATCCCTATAGGTGATTCTCAAAAGGATAGTAAACCAAGCCTCTTAGACGACAATGCACCTCCATCACTAGCCGATGAACCCATAGATCTTAGCAAAACATTACATATTACTCCAATTCCAACAGCGGAGCTTTCTAACGATCATTCTAACCACGTTGATATTCAGGGCGTTGGTGCCGTTGAGGAATTTCCTCTAGAAAGCGAAGACGATCAAGAATTTGCTTTGTTAGCTGCAGAAAGTTTAAATAAAACAGTAACTCCAGCGATTTTGCCAAGTACTACAAGAGAAGAACCGAAAGAAACTTGGCAAGCATTTGAGGGGTGAGATGAGAACTAATAAGAAACGTTAACCACCTTTATATTTTAGGGAGTCTAAAAATAGCGAGCAGTTCGAAGAAACTGAAAGTGATCCTTTCGACACAACTTTCGCAGAAAATGCCGTACCAGGAAAATACGAATTGAAACTAATCGAAAATGAAATCTTAAGCAGTGATGACGTAGATTTTAATCCTCGCCTCGAAGACAAATTAAAAGATCTTATTAAGGATACCGTTCAGCCCACTAACCCTCCGTGCGTGTTAGGTATAACTTACCTTAAGATAGGGCGAGAATTCGGAGGTTATCGATTTACTTTCCAGAGTCTGAACTAGATACTCTTCAGCCAAAGCACCGTGATTTGTTAGCTGGTAGTGTTACCGATTTGTCAAATTTAGGAGCTCGGCCATTAACACCGGCGGATGAAAATTATATAGAATACTGCGATCCTTTCGACACAACCACTGTTGAGTCCGCCACAGTTCCAGGCCAAACTGAATTAAAGTTTTTAGAAAAGGAACTCTTAAGTGATATTCATAATAGTGATGATGATTTTGATCCGCGTGCAGATGAGAATTATTGTAGAAAAGCTAGTAGTGCAAGTGTAAAGGCAGTTAATTTTACCTTACCATTGCCCGACGTGAATTCGGGATTAGCGCCAGATTCTGATCACGATGGTAAAAGGAATCCGAAGCCTTTAACCCCATATTACGTACGTGAAAATTCGCTATCGAAGAAAACTGTAGCAGACATCGAAAGTGAAGAGGAAGAAGAAGACCCTTTTGATACCTCCTTCGTGGTCAATATCACTCCAGGAAAGGCAGAATTAAAAGTCATCGAAAGCGAGCTATTTTCTAACGGTGGTACTCTCGATAGCATATCGGACCAAGATTTTAACCCACGGGACGAAAAACAACTCGCTGTTGCTAAAGTTGTCCAAACGATTAAGGAAATAAGTGCTAAACCACCTGAAGTATTACACATTGAACCACAAATTGATTTGTTAGGTGTAGAACATAACGAAGTATTGACCAAGGTGCTAACACCTGCAACAAATAGATCTTTTGATAACGAAGATGTACCGTATGAAGATCCCTTTGACACTTCTATTGCGAGTAACATACTCCCTGGGAAAGTGGAACTGAAACTTTTAGAGACTGAGCTTATACATACATCACAATTCGAATTGCAAAGTGATATAACCGATTCAGATTTTGATCCTAGAAAGGAGACTGTAGACGCAGTCAGTGCGCCAATTGCTCAAGAACCATCGAAAGTTAGTATTCCGGATCTATTAGAGCACACCGTCGAACACGTATCGGTAAAAGCTTTAACGCCACTTGGCATTCAAGACGTAGTTGACTTTGATGAATTAGATGACATAGATCCTTTTGATACATCATTTGCTAACAATATTGGTCCTGGACAAACAGAACTAAAATTATTAGAATCGGAGTTAATTTAAAATGGATTCTAAGGGAGCAAATCCGTTTTTATTTGCGGAGGAGGACCTCTCTGCCACAAACTCCGCTGTCTCAAACCCGTTCCTTATGGATGGGGATGATTTTTTGACTGATGACTCCACTTTCTGTGATAATCCATTTTTATCACAAGGGGCAGCCACAATGACGGCAACGTCGACAAATCCTTTCGCCTTTGATCCCATGGAGTTAGGCCCTGCCGAAGCAGAACCGGCAGCTGATATTCCAGCATTGGAAAATTCTATGAACGATTCAACGATGGATTTGATTACCGCAAACACAGCTCACGATTTTTTAAACGACCCACTAATAATGCCTACGATTCCTCCACAAAAACCAACAGGTTTAAATTTGAAAATTACAAATACAGTTAATGACAGTGATACAAATCCACCACATTCAGGGTTCGACCAAACAACTGTGCACAATGGTCCTCAACGACCACCTCCACCTCCGAGACCGCCTCCATCTAAAGAAACACAAGACCTACTAATGTCAGTCATGGGTGCGATGGATGCTACAAGTTCGCATCTATTGGATAAAATTCCTCCGACAAGGACACCGAGTCCAGTATCAATGCGGGACCTACATTCGCCAAGTCCAACACCAGAGCCCAATCTAGCAGATCTTTTAGACGTGAATGATGAGAAGAGCCAGGAACATCAAGAAAGCGACCTTTTGACATTGAGTGACGATAACACATGTGATATCAACCGAAATCCGCCTCTTCCACCGTCAAATACAGCAATATCGAATCAACCTCCTCCTCGTCCAGCCCGACCTGTATCTAAACCACCTAGACCACTTCCTCCTCAAAAACCTCCACCACCACCCATTTCACAACCTCACCCCACACCGCCCAAACCACCCCCTCCATCATCCGAAGTATTATCGCCTCCACATCAAATTGAAGAACCTCAAACAAAATACGAAACACAGCCATCGGACGACTTCGACCTCTTTGGCATTAGCGACGTAAAACAACCAGCCCAAAAAATTGTGGCGTCAACTGCGGATATAATGAATTTATACAGCACACCAGCAGTAGTTCAATCGCACCCAAAACCGGATCTGTTATTCGATTCAATTGGAACTGAAATGCAGACGTCAGCTCCGACAACAGAAGAAATCCTACCCTCTAATATAAACGTAACAACGAACGCAACTGTTGACATTACCATATCAAATGCGGTAGAGCATTCCGAATCGTTGGCAAATACGCCAATAGTCCAAGATAACTTTATATCACCCGAACCTTCACAATCCGACTTGCAGATGGATACAAGCGATAGTCAGAGCAAGGGATCAATATCAAGTGTGACTTTTAATCCATTTGCCGAGGTCCAGGAGAGCTCAAGTCCTAAACACACTCCAACGATCGCAACAGAGCTATTCACGTCATCATTAATCGACACTAACCCACCAGTTGCTCAAGATAACTTTAGTTTTGGTGAAGCAAAGCCGTCGAACGATGAGTTTGACGCGTTCGCAATGAAGTTTGAATCTGCAGCGAAAGACGAAAATAAAAATGGAGCGTTTGATGCATTCTCTGGATCTGCATCAACGAACACGTGGGGTAACGACGGTGCAGACTTTAACGATACGTCGAGTGGTTTCGGTACCGATGAGCCGTTTGACGCTTTCTTGTCCATGCAAGAGCCGCCAACTGTCCCCCAAAGTACCCCCAATAAATTAAGTAAAGCGCCGTCTCAAGATTCGGATGAAGAGAAAGATTTTTCTGTATTTATAAGGTGCTAGATCACATAATTCAGTTCTTGTTTTAATGCACGCTTTTTAGACCAAAGTCGAATGACAATGCGTTTGCCGACGAAGCCATGCCAGTATTAGCCCCTCCACCTAGCGTTCCTGTATATAGTGCATTCACCGATTCCTCTCCGAGGTTTAATCCTTTCGATCAGCAAACCCAGTCGGTTTCTCCAGCTATCGGTGAAGATATGACTATAGGTAATTGCAGCTATTATTATCAATTACTACACTAAACCATTACTTTATCAGGGGAATCTGTGCCAAGGAGTGAATCCCAAGAAACTCCTCCCTCCCCATTATTCGACGAAGACGTCTCCCAACCTCTGGAAGTTTTTCCACGCACAATCTATACAGCAGATGGCTGGGAAATGCAACTAAGACAGCCTAATAAAAAAAAGATTACGGGACAAAGGTAGCTTAACACTTTCAGAGGGGTAGGTACAATATTGTGATGGATTCTTTGTAGATTTTGGAAGAAGATTTTCATAAGATTACTGCATCAAACCGATTGCGTTCTTTTGCAATTATTTAATCAAAAGGGCGACAAAGACCCTTTCCAAGAGCTACCGTTACAGCCATGTTATTCCGTGTCCGACATTGGAGCGCAACAATACGATAACTTCGGAAAAATCTTTACGTTGAAGTTACAGTATATTTTTTACAAAGAGCGGCCAGGTGTTCGTCCTGGTCAGGTAAAAAAGGCAGAACGAATTACGAATAAACTGTCAAAGTTCGCATCGTACGCGATTCAAGGAGACTACGAAGGTATATTTCCGAAAGTGACGAGCACGATTGTTATGTAAGGGAAATTGTAGGAGTCAAAGAGTTCGGGAGCGATCTAAAAAAATTAGGCCTACCTGTTGAGCACGCACCCCAAGTGTCACAGTTGATGAAGCTGGGTTCGTTGAATTACGAAGATTTGAAACAATTCTCGGTGTCGATTGAAGAAGCACTGTTTAAGCTACAAGCACACCGAGATCGCGCGCTCCACTACAAAATGGAAGAAGTTCAGATAACTTCGGTGGATGAGCTGTATGTTGAGCAAGATGCAGAGGGTTCGTACCTTGATAATTTGCTTCAAAATTCTAAATCATCGAACTTTTGTAGGACACATCGAAAAACAAATAGCAAGGGTTCGCCTCTTCTTTTTAGGATTTTTAACTGGAATGCCCGACATTGAGTTGGGGGTTAATGATATGAGACGACAAGGTAAGGAAGTCGTAGGACGACATGACATTATTCCCGTAATTACGGAAGAATGGATTCGATTGGAGGATGTCGAATTTCATTCCTGCATCCAACAAGATGACTACCAAAATTCTCACATTATCAAGTATTATCAGTAGCAGTTTTGAGCAATATTTAAAGTGTACCTTTTGCAGATTCAAGCCACCTGATGCGTGCTACATTGAGTTAATGAGGTTTAGGGTACGCCCACCTAAAAACAGAGAGTTACCCTTGCAGCTTAAAACCACGATTAACGTTACTGGAAATAAGGTAGTAATAAAGGCAGACGTTTTAGTTCCGGGATTCGCGTCTCGAAAACTAGGGCAGGTTCCCTGCGAAGACGTCATGATTAGAATACCCATTCCAGAGTGTTGGATTTATCTTTTCAGAGTCGAGAAGCATTTCCGATACGGTTCGGTCAAATCGACGCACAGAAGGTGAGCGTGTGCTGTTGGTGAGTTGTAATAGTAGCCTGGTTATTATAGGACAGGGAAAATTAAGGGAATTGAACGAATTTTGGGCACTATGGAAACTTTGCAAGAAAGTTTAATTGAGGTGACATCGGGCCAAGCAAAATACGAACATCAACATAGGGCCATAGTTTGGAGGTGTCCGCGGTTGCCAAAAGAAGGACAAGGTAGCATATTATTCAAAAAGTAAAGGCTCATACAAATTAGTATTTTAGGCGCATATACGACGCATAACTTGGTTTGCAGATTAGCCTTAACAAGTTATGACCAAATACCTGATCAATTGGCTGAATATTGCTATGTAGAATTTACTATGCCCGCAACGCAGGTTAGCCATACCACCGTTCGGAGCGTAAGTCTACAAAATTCAGATAGCGATGACCCTCCCGAAAAATACGTGAGATACTTGGCTAGGCATGAGTATAGGTATGTGGCATTTTGATTTTTTATTACTAATACAAATTTCGACCATGGTTGTTTTAGTGGCTGAAACTTGGCCACTTGAAAGACTAAAATCTAATTTTTGTCCTATAGCTTATAAACTCTACTTTAACTTTTTTTAGAGTGGGAATCGAGCATACAGAGGGTGACAATGTTGCAGCATACAGTGTTGCAACAGTAACCAAACCACCACCTGCGCCCATACCAGAGCAGCCTCCTGCTATACCTGAGAACGAGTCAAGTGATGATAGTGACTAAACTAAACTCTTTCCATTGCAAAGTTTTGCATACCCATCACATGTGGTTATCTGTTATTTAAAAATCTTCCATGTAAGTATCGGTGTTTTACTATAAATGTGCAATGTACGTGTTTTTATTTCTACTGTTAAAACCCCGTAAATCAGGTGTATCGTAACCCATTGCAATAATACAAGGTTTATATCAGATATTTGTACCAATAAAAAGTTATAAATGTTCCAAATTGTCGTCTAACTTCAATGTTAAAAAGCTTAAAATGTTTCGCTATTTTGTAAGTCCCTAATGTGCAGTGTAGTATATCCATGATTTTAAAATGTATACGTAATTACAATGTAAATGTTACTATCAACAAAGTTTATAATCGTTACAATAATTAGAAAAAATAATGAATAGTTAATAAATTGCAAAATATATTTATTTTGATTAAGGTTCAAAATAAGCTGACAATATAAGCATAGCAATGCTAGTAGATTAAGAATTAGTGTAATGAGTACCTATATAGTTAATTGTGAGCAGTATTCATTTCGTGCTTATTTATCTATGTGCTAATATAAATTAGGTACGCGCGATTGATTTGTGATTTATTTCGACATATCATAATGATAATTTCGTTAAGTATGAGTTTAATCTTCTACAGTGTTTGGAAAAAACACTTGATGCGGCTAGGATCTCCAAAGATTACAACAAAGAGTAGCTTATACTCTTTGATTACTATTTTAATAGTGATTACTTCACATAGTTATAAGTGCATAGGTCTTAGAAATTATTGTATTTTGATCTTCTGAAAATAGTTTTCTTGTTAGTTGTTATATAGAATATTGATGTATGAGCATCGTAAGTGTACATGGTATCTAGACTGCCCACATAGTAATATTCTAATAATTTTAGAAATATGTATTGTAAAAATTAGACTATTTATTTATTTGTGTTAACTAGTTGTAGTTAATTATTTATTTATTTTTATTTTTAAACATTATTATGTATGGCGCCGAACGGCCCATATACCGAGTCAGTGAACTAGTCATTTTACAATTTGTAAAAAATAGTCATTAGGTATTAATATTAAGATCATATTTATTATAAGTACAGTAACTAAAAAGTGGGTATATATTAATTAATTTCAATAAATTCAATAAATGCGAAATTGCACATTAAATATTTATGGATGCGTAATTTGTAAAAATGTTTAAAGTGTATTTATCTCTGAAAGTACCATACATTACGGAATGTGTATAAGATGTACACTATTGTAGATGTAGAAATAAAACAATGCGATATATTTGTAGTATTTTTGGTCAGATTTACAATGTTCTAACCAATAGTACCTACATATAGGATCTAAAAGCGATCAGCATAAAGTACGGCCATAGTATAATACAAATAGTAAGCCAACCGGTTCGCGCCAATTCTTGATGATTGTAAAAAGATGTACCGGTACATGCTGCCACCTAGTTGAGAGTAGCTCAATACGCCCATCTTAGAAACTACATTCATTATTGTCACAAAACGATCGGCATCAGTTATCGAAGCGGGAAAATACAAAACATGATCGGTAATCGAGTTTAAATATTCTTCCCATATCGTATTCCTATTTCATATCGTCATATTATTAAGCACTATACTTGCAAGCAGAGCTGGAATGATTACTCCAAAAAAGTATTCGAATACTGATTACAAATTACTTTATCATAAAAGTATTTACGTAGGTATTTGATTAGGTACCTACACCTACTTTACAAAATTTGTATTTAATTACTG